TCGCCTCTCCTCTTCCTTCCTCCTATCCATGCAGCACGCAGACACACACACACACACACACACAAAAAAAAAAAAAGAGAAAGAGATAAGGGGCAGAAGGCGTGTCTTTCCGTCTGTCTCTCTCCTGAAAAAGCCGTGAGAGATGAGGCAGCAACAACCAGACCTAAAAAAAAATGTCGAGGGTGACAGAGAAAAAGAAAAAAAAGTTATCAAATACGTCCGTGCTTCAATTGAATTACAGGTACAGAAAAAAAAAAAAAAAAAAAAGAGCTAAGCATTGAGTTCCGGCATTGTGACGATATTCACGACATCTTGCCGTCACCACCCTCCACCTTTCCCCCACAGAAATAAATGTACACAGTTGATATCTACAAAAAATTCATATTGGCCCACTTCTTTCACCCTCACAAAAGTATAGCCCCCATTGGTCAAAAAAGTAACATTTTTCTTTTCTTTATTTTGAGACAAGAAAAAAAAAAAAAAAAAAAAAGTAAATAAAGAATTTTACCGTAGCAGTGAAGTGTAGTCCGTATGGAGAAAAAAAAAAAAAAAAGCCATGCGAGATATAAAATAATAATAATAATAAACAAGAAATCAACTAAAAAAAAAAAAACGCAGAAGAAATCAAGGTACACCTCCTCCATCAAATTTAGTGCAGAAGTTATCGCTACACACAAGCACAAATAAACACGCATACATACAGGGTCAATATACATATCCCCCCTCACTATTTGCTTTATACGTCTTCGTCATATCCAAATTTCTCCCCTCCCCACTATTGGAGCACTGTGATGATCCATTCATTAGTTTTCTTTGCATGGGACTAATGCTACGCTCTAGCTGTCGTGTCTCCTCCCTTAAATGACGTCGCATCTCATCAATGGGAAGCCGCATTTGATACTCAATTTTCTCTCGCTCCTCACGCAGGATGCTCCTCCGACCGTCAATGTAGCTACGAAAGATTGGTTCCCTCGGCTTTCGGATCGGGGGCGATAACGAAGAGTAGCAAAGGGTCCGCTTCAAGAGAGACGTTTGGCCCTTTTCTATGGAATCCAAGTTGTCGCCGCGCTTTGGCGTTGCATACGCCGCTCGTCGGTACCTATCATTCGTGCCATCCTCCCTCACGTCATAATCGTGATTGCCGTGACGGGATCTACTGCCATAGCCATACAACAGCGACTTCTTCGGATGGCCGGACCACATTGGCAGACCCCGTGGACTTTCTATCGTGAGCGCTGGCCGGGGCTCATAGTGCGAGGGCCCCACGGCGCGCGGCGAGTTGGACGCATCACATTGTGGCCAACTGCCCTCATCCCCCAAGAGCGGGTGGCCCTCGAACGGCTCGGGTATTTCCGCCGGCAGATCAAGAATGTCGGGCTGGAAGAGGTACACCTGGCTGTTGTGCAGCAGCTGCGTTGACCGCTCAAGGCGATCCCATGTGCTGTGCACGTCGTTGAACACAACCGCCGCGCTTACGGCAAAAGTGCGGGGCACCGAACGGAGGCGAAATAAGTTGTTAAACGCCACGATAGAGCGGTTGAGGAGCTGCGCCACCGAAGGGCCGTAAGAGTCAAAGAGAAACCGCAGGTTGGCCTTCTCCCCATCGCAATCCGTGGCAACGCAGATGGAGTACTGCATCCCGCCCCTCTGCCTCTCCCCACACCTCCTTCTCTCTAATAATTTAAATATATATATATATATACAAAAATACAACAAAAAAAAAAAGATATCTTCTCTCGTGTCGTGTCGTGTCGTCACCACCACCAGCAGCGGCAGTCGTTGGTTTCCGCCCTCAATTGTTTCAAAATCGTAAGCAGCAAAGAAGAGGTCGGCGCTTGGTGTTCGCCCCCTTCTCTTTTTTCCTTCTGCAGCATGTGAGAGCAGAAAAAGCAAGAAGAAAAAAAAGAGAGTGGGCACAGGTAAAATTAAAAAAAATAAATAAATAAATAAATAAATAAATAAGCAATACAACAAGAAATCGCATGCATGGAGATATTATATAACGCAAACGTGCACTTCCTGTAAATCCAAGCGGAAGACAACACGCCAACCGATCCCCCAAAGACCAACCAGGAAATTAAAAAAAAAAAAAAAAAAAAGGGTGTATCACGGCTAAGAATGAGGCGGCAATAGCTCCCTATTGTACCATGGTGTGAGCTCATCTTCATTCTGTAGCATTGACTCGTCAATGGTAATTTCATCCATCAAAATTTCTCGAATGCGCCGCAGTGCGCAGTTCACACGTGTGGTGTCCTTTTCTGTGGAGGAGATACGAAGCAACTCTGCCGCAAGAACTCCTCTCCGTGCCTCCAGCGCACCAATGCGTGCTGAGACAAAACTCACCGCCCGATGATCCTCTTTCGCCTCTTTAATATATTCCTCTCTCAGTTCCTGCGTCAATGCCTCTCCGGTATTTAAAGACGCACTCAAAGAGGCCATCAAAAGCCGACGTATACTTTTTCTCTTATACTTTTCGATCTCCTGCCTCTTTGCCATCAGTTCCAACTCCCACTGATGACGCTGAAGATAACTCACAGCGTCCCGCAGCTCATCCACGACCGCCTGTTGCTCCTTGTAGGCAATCTGGTACACCGCCAGCTCCACCTCTTGAGACCGTTTCTTTTCATTAAGTTCCCTTTCGATGCTAATAACATGTTCGTGTACCCCTTCAAGCACAACTGAGATAATAGCCAACTCCTCATGTCGACAGCGAACAAAAATTTCCTCCATATCGCGGCGAGCCTCACTGTAAATCCCTTTTCGTCCTTCCCATTCCTCTCGCAGTGTAGCGTACTGACGCCGCTCACTTTCTACTGCCGTAAGCTCAGCCAGTACCGCCAGATAGTTACGCCTAATGCTATGAACGTGTTCTGACATCTCCTCACAGCGGGAGCGATCCAACTCCAGTTGGTCCTCCAGCACGTTTGTCTCCCTCGCGAGACACGCCAGCTTTTCCCGCTCCTCCTCAAGCAAAGACTCGGATTCCCGCACCCGTTTGATATCGTCCGCACTCAATACCAGCGCAGTCTGAGAGGCATCGTCAGAGAGTGTCGAGTTTTTCTGCGTCTCGTAAATATTTACGAGACCTTCAGCCGTGGACACAGTTGATCCAGCCGATGCAGCGTGAGGCTTCAGAAGATTCTCTTCAATGAGTGACTCTTCCTGGGCATCCGCTCCGTCACTGCGCCGGGGTTCATCAGCGAGGAGTGCGCCGCCCGTGTCCTCAAAATGAACCTCCTCCACTGAGAGAAAATTCGGCGGAGACGACCGCACCAGCTGCGTCTCAAGCTCGTTCAATTTCCGCTGTTCCTCTTGCAGACTCCCTCGCATCTCAAGAAACTCGCGATAGGCGTCGCTCACAGCAGGAATTAGTGAGCTCTTCTGCCTCACCTCATTCCGGAACTTGTCGGAGAAACTAAGCAGTGCATACTTGGCGGAGCTGAGATCTGAGACAAGGGAGGGAATGTTTGCAAGAAGCACCTCTACGGTCAAGAGGAAACGTTCCTCGTCTATTAAAAGCTCCGTTGGGCCACTCGCCATCACGCGCTACTAGCTTGCTGTGTGTAGAATTATGTGTCGTGCTATGCCTCTCCCTCGTCCACCTGTACTGTTCTTCTGAAAGGCCCCGTGCAGCCCTTATGGTTGTTGTTTTTTATTATTTGTGGGAAAAGACGCAAAATATATATAATAATGATAATAAAACAAGGGATACTAAAAAAAAAAAGTAATTCAAATCAATGCACACATGGTCCTTCTCTTCTTCCCTATCTTTTCTCAGAGAAACGCAGCCTCAAATTTTCCCTTTATTGCCTCTTCCCATTTTCTGGCATTGGTACTGCTCACGCTGTACGGTAACACTTGCCCTTCAGACCTCATGGTCTTACAACTGCGTCCCCGGCAAGACGCGGCTGGTCCGGTCGCTCGTCGATTCCGTCAGCCCTACGCCAAAAAAAAACAATTCAGTGAGGGAAACATTGCTGGCGCTTGGCTTCCCTCGACAATACAAAGCGATTTAACCCTGGCACCACTCATATGTCCAAATGTTGATGGCAGTCCGGGAGGAAGACGCGCCATCAAAGTCCCAACGCACCCACCGCCCTGTCCAAGAGCTGCCGCAGCGCCTCAAGAGCTGAACGGCTTCCACCTGCAGTTGTTTTTACCGCATCTCCTTCTGCTCCCTCTTCTTCCATGACATCACGAAGGAACCACTCACGTGGATCAGCGAAATACATCAAACGCTCCTCGCTGATGGGATGCAGGAACGACAGCACCGCAGCGTGCAAAAGATGTCGCTTCACGCGCAAACGCGGCGCCGCCGCGCTTACTAAACCCTCATTTCCCTTCGCTCTCGCAATATACGTGTCATCCGGAACAGCGCAGCAGCCTCCCACCACGCCGGGTGTGGTAGTCTCGTATAACTTATCGCCAAGCACGGGGTAGCCCAGTTGAGCACAATGTATCCGTATTTGATGTGTTCGTCCTGTGAGAATATCCACGCGTGCAACCGAGACGCCGAGTTTTTTGTCACTGCTAAGAATACGAACCCGAGAGGCTGCTGGGCGACCGTGTCGCTTTGGATTTTCCTTTAAATTCACTGGGAAGCATGCCATCTTCAATTTCTTTAATTTGTTGTGCTTCTTCGCATCTTCCGTGTCGCCCTCATTCCAAAGGCTGTCAAAAAGCAAACCAATACGGTCGCACATGACGAAATCGGCCCCTTCAGGACCTGCACCAGCCAACACAGCAACATATACTTTGGTAACAACTTTCTCTTCCGCCAGAAGTTTCTCAAAGACCGCTGTACTAAGTCCGTCTCCAGCAGGGTCCGTCCGCTTTGAAACTTGCGCCGTGATTCGCTCAGACTGCTTCTCAAACTGTCTGGAGAGGGCTCTTGCCGCCGCCAACTGCTTCGCCAACACAACTAATCCAGTCGTCTCCTTGTCCAGGCGGTGAATGGGATAATACGATGCGGGCACTTTATGCACTGAGACCCCCGCATCCCCGTCCTCCTCCCTCGTTTGATCCATTTTTTGACGCGCCGCCGAATACTTCTCAGAAACAAAGGACACCGCGTCGCGTCGCTCAAGAAGGCCTACCAGCGTGTTGCCGGAATAGCGTCCTCCTTCTGCCACCGGAAGATTGCCGTTCTTGACACACACAATAACGGCGTCGTCGTCGTGCACAACATGAATGTATTCGTCAACGTCTGGCTCAAGTTCGCGTGGTGGGTTAAAATAAATCTCGTCATTTTGGCGCAATACGTATTCTCCGGAGGTTGTTACGGCATTACTGTCGCTGGCGCTGACAACCGACAGGTGCCCCGCCGCCATATGTTTAATCCATTCATCCCGTGAGAGGTAAGAGAAGCGGGTGCAAAGAAAGTCTAGCAGCTTCTCTGGCAGGGCAGCCTTTGGCCGACTGTACCGAATCCGGCGGCCCATTTCCCCCACACCCCGCCAGCCACTAGTACGAGATATGAAAATCGCACATTCCAGCATGTGTGGGCGTGTCAGGGAGGGAGAGAAAGAAAGAGAAAGGAATAGAGGAGGAAAACCATACACGACAAGAAAAGGAAAAACAAAATGAGGGTCTGATGAAGTGAATCAGCCGATGATCAAATCCCCTTGGAGCAGCAAAAGGGGGCAAAAAGGAACAGATTTGTACGCAACAACCAACAGCAAGCGGAGAGAACACACAAACACACACACACACAGAGAGAGTGAGAGAGAGAAAAGAAAAAAAAGACAAACTTTAGTCGTTTGGCTTTCTTGCCATGTCTCTACCAGTGGGAAAAGAGTAGGAGGAAAAAAGAATTACAGCCGCAATTACTCCGCCCAGCGACCAAAGCCTCCCCCGTCCGCGTGATTATTTGCGCCAAAAAAAAAAAAAAAAGCCTCCAAATAACAGAACTTAAAAACGAAAATAGGCGTCCTTCCGTCTCTCTAAATAAGTCTTCCGGCCATGTAGAGAAAGAAATGAAAAACAAACTCTCCCTTGCTGTCCCATACACACACAGAAAGAAAAGAATGGGACAGTAACAATAATAAAAATACATTTAACCACACCGGCACACGCATCTAATCAGCCGCTTCCCCCAAACAACCAAATTCATAAAAGCAGGAATTAAGTGGAAATGTAACAAAAAGGCAACAAGTGGAATCATCTACATGTTCACTCTCTTCTATGATAAATTTTCTTTTTCACCATCGGCGAGCAAAAGAAGACTCATCTCCACTAAGTCTAAAGTGGATATGCGTATCACTGCTGCTTCTGAGAACGGCAGAATGAGCGGGAGTCATGGATTCTATGAGTGCAGTTATAAGATTTTCCACCACTTTGGATGGCATGCGGGAGCGAAGATCCACGAGACCAGAGCGCAGTTCATCATCAGCACTTGACCGTGCAGTTTGGTACAGACGAGACACGTCCTCCACATGCGCAGGATTGACAAATGCGGGAATACGCAGGGAGAGTTCTCCAACATACGTGTTGCAATTATCTGGTCCCAAAAAGTACCTGCGCAGTAAAACAGTATGTGGATAATTACTGTCAAAAGAAAGGGGATCGATGAGGTCCATCTCCGGCGATCTATCCAAGGAAGCTTTTACAACGGTTTTCCCACCGCCATTAACGGGATCTACTTGCAGTGACGAATTTTCAAGCCGCACGGACCAGAGTGGTGCGATCATAGAAGGCAAGGCAAGTCGTTGTTCAAACACCACCCTACCAGCATCATCAAGTAACCGCACATTCACATTATGAGGGCATGCAGCACTCATCTTTGCGATAAACACCGCCTTCCCAGTGTTGCCGCTGCTATTGCCATCCACACCACAAACAATACAAAACCTTGGAGGACACACAAGTCGAAGCTGCACTTCTTCCTGCAGCTGCGTCACACTGGCATCTAAAAAACAAGACACTGGAGAAGTCACATTTAGAGGCGTATCTGCCACTTCTGGAGCTGCCAGAGTGACTCTTGTTTCAGCACAAAGTGATCCACTTACGGGGTCACGTGCTATAATGTGAACACGATGCACAGAGCCTGCAGGAAAATCATATCCCTGCGGTACTTGACCGCCTTGTTCCAAATTCATAAAACCGGTTCCGTCCACATCCACACTTAATCGACAAGGTCTCTCCGTTCGAACGTTCTTCAGGCATCCAGCTCCACATGTAAACTGAAAACCATCTACCGAGGTGGAAGTGGATCCGTGGGTACGCTGCCGCGCCAGCTCATTTTCATGATCTCGTAAAAGTTGTACAAGTAAATCCAGCAAAGCCCTTTCTTCCGGAGTTTCCGTAGGGACGGCTCCCCAACGGACTGGAAGCGGTGTTGTTGATTGGAGATAAAAAGCATCCACTAAAGCCTTGGCAAATTCATTTCGTGACGCTTTTCCAGGCGCAGGGGGTTGTTGAATGGATACACGAATATTATTCGTGTCACGTGGAACCTCTATCATCGAGTGGGACGAAAGTTGTTTTATTCGTTTGTCATCAAGAGCCAAAGAAATTTGCATGTTTTCAGGAAAGTCAGAAGCACTCAAATAAATGGGACGTGAAATGGAATTTGTTAGGCGACGCAGACATTCTGTCATCAGCGGTAAAAGTCGCTGACCGTTGGCAGACTGAGGTGACGTGATCGTTGTCAGCTCTGTCAGCACCTTCTCTGGGCTGGCACCGTGCCTCTCAAATGTCTCGAGGAGACGAGCAACGAGAAGTTCATCCAAATTTTTATCGGAAGGCGGGCAGTGCAAACAACAGCTGGCAACCACGCGGCCCATGGGAAGCGCGACAGCGGACAAAGTTACACTGTGGCCTGCCTGTACTTGGACGCCTCCTCGACCGTAAATTGCACAGGAAGGTGAATTGTCCACAGAAGCTGTGACGCCGTATCCCGCACACTGAATCTCACTCACAGTATCGTTGCTCTTCTTGAAAGATATTGTGGGTGGTTTCTTAAATAACTGATCGGAAACAAAACCAACAATAGTTGTGGCCTCAGGGGTTGGCGGAATGATGCTTTGAATCCCACGACGAGCACTGTCGAGGTCTGGACTTTGTAATGCCTTTGCAAGTTGTGGAATCCACGGTTCAACACCCGTGGAAACTGCTGCTGTCGGCTGAGAGAAAGTGGATTGTCCCGGTCCAATCTCAAACACGGCGGATGAGGCATCATCGTGCACTGTCACGACATGAGACGAGCCACTATCTACATGCACTCCAACATCACCACCAACGGGCGGAAGTCTATCAACACTTATTCGAGAGAGAGGCTTTCCAGTGATGACTCTTGTGCCATGCGCACCCTCTGCAATGCTGAATGTCAACGGGGCTCGTTCTGTCGCTGGTACCACAGTATTTTGACGAAGCAGCGTACGACCAGCTGTGTCCATGATGACAATACGAACGCGGTGTTCCATTCTATCGGGAAGAGAAAGTTGGGCACCTCCATATCCTGAAACGGATGATCCATTGTCTCCAACCAACTCCACCATAAAACCTTCGGCTGTAGCGACAAACTTTGGCGGTGATGCATCGCCAGGAGGAGCGGCCAGCAGCATCGTCTCTAACTCGGGAAAACGATGCGTAGAAAAATCTTCCGCCAGAGGCTTGGCATGTTCGGATGCAAAAGCCGGAGAAGAAAGAAACGGCTGTGTTGCCGCTGCACGAGGCAGCTGAAATGTAAATGGACCGCTTTCTACCGCTACTGTGAAGGGTCGGTTCGGTGTGAGATGAATAGCCTCACCGCTCCCACTGCAGAAAAGAACGGCATCGTCTTGATTTCCAGCGGTGGCCTGAACCAAAATGGTGGCGGGTGGCGGCAATGATGCGACTGCCAGTGAGGAAGGGGAACGCCGCGGATGCTCCATTTCCGCCATCCCCAAGGAACACTCCTTGGCCTGAATGGGAATCTCGTACCAGCCTCCTTTGGGATGAACTCGCCGTCCGTCCACAGTTAGCATAATGCCATCCGCGAGCCGAGAATCCGGTGGCGCTCGCAGTCGTAGAACACTCTTCCCCTCACTTCCACTCAAAATTATCTTGCAACGATGTTTCCCACCGCCTCCCTGTACCACGGCGTTCAGGTGGTACTCATGGCCATCGCCGGGCACGGGCACAGCACCTCCGCCGAATGGAAAAACAACTGTCCTTGATGGGCCATTATCCACACCGAGTTCGCAGTGCAACACCTGTCCTTTGCCCTGCTGCAGTTTCTCAATGAGAAGGTTTGCGCCCGTTATACGGAGCATAAGGGCGGTGGAACCCTTTTGGAGCACCCCCGTGTGGCCGTGATTGAGCGGGGGCTCTACTTTGTACTCCCCTCGGAAGGGGTACCCCATGTCGTTCATATTACACCCCACGGGCGGAAACCTCGGACGCAACGGCATTTAAAAAGTGGAATTCCCAAAAAAAAAAAAATCACAACAAAATACCTGGCCACCGCAAAGATAATAAAAACCTGCTCCTTCCTTTAGCGTTATTTTGAAGATGTTACAAGATCAGAGGCAATGTATACAAACAACATCAGAAGAAGAAATAAAAAAAAAACCATGAATAAAAAAAATGTGTGAAAAAAAAAAAATAATAATAATAATAATAATAATAATAGAGACCGCCCAACTGAGAGGCCACTCTCCAGGCTCTTTATCTCACTCAATTATTTCATGTATTTAATGTTGCATTTGGAGGGTAAATGGTTTTCTTAATCACGCATTAAGAAAAAAAAAAAAAGGATGGAAACGTCACGACGCTGCATTACCCCTCAGAGATTCTACGCGCAGACGTATCAAATCCACAGTTGCGGCCATTTCTTCAAGAGTGTTGTTTTCCCGGACAATAACAATACTGTCGTCGTAGGCCCCGCGTGCTTCCTCCTCGCAGAGACCCTGGATCTCAGCCTCCATGTTTTCATCGCGTTTCTGTTCGCTGTACTTGCGCGCAGTGAGACGCTCAAAGAGAACCTCCGTGGAAGCGCGCAGGACGATGACGAGGTGAAACCAGCGACGTGGAAACAGTTCGCTGGAGTGATAATCCACAAAGTGATTTCCCTCGTTCACCATCATGGGCTCCATAAAGTCCAGCAACCGATCCTCATCGTCCTCCTCGACAATGTGCGTGTCAAGCGCATTGTCGTACTCGCTGTAGAAGTGATTCTCCTTCACAATTTTCCCCACCTCAACATGCTTAAAGTCCCCGAGCTCTTGTGCAAGAAGCTCAGCAAGAGATGTCTTGCCTGTTCCGGGCGTGCCTGTGATAAGAATGTTAATGCCTTTCGGACTCTGCAACATCGACCCCCCTCCTCACAAATGCCTGAATTTTCTTTTGTCAGGTCCTCATGTTCACTCATTCATGTTGTTGTTGTTGTTGTTGTTGTTGTTGTTTTCGCGCAAAACCAATAAAAAGAGAAGTAAATCAACGCCTCAAACAAACAACACCCTTCAGCCCCGCAGCACCAGTTCTAACCATTCCCCTCTCATTCAACCGAGGGAAGCTCAACACATGCATCGATTGAGAAATCCCCACCCCACAAGACATATATATTTATTTATTTATTTATTATATGCATGGAGCATTCCATGGTGGTACAATGTGTCCAAAATATATATATATATATATATATGGAAACAGAGAAATACTCCAAAGAAAAGAAATAAAGAAAAAAAAACTTCTCGGTACTAATCTCACCACCACAACCGTCGACGGCAGCACCAGTAACCAAAGAATACAAATATTGTTTGTTTGTTTTTCCCTCTCTCTTATCCAACCATACCTGCGACTGGGTCTGTGGAATCTCACCTCTTCCAAGAAGATAATTGCACCATTCGTTCACGCCTCCGCTGCTCACTTCGGAATCGTTCAAACTCTGCCTCAATACTTTCCTCATGGGCACTTTCCTCCTCCAACGGTGCGGCGCGGTGCCGTGCCCACATGTCAAGCGAGAGCCGCTTCATCTTTTGCATCTTCGCTGAGGCAAGGCGGTGACTACGCGACACCCGGTGATCCGGCCAGTTCTTCTTCAAGACCGCCAGATGGCATGTGGCACACCATGTCTGGTCCGCCGGCAAAAGCTCACTTGCCAGCTGCGACGGTCTTAGCTGGCGTCCAATGTAGCCTTTCCTACTGAGCATCGCATCTATACCCCTCTCACCGTGGAGTTAAAATAAAAGAGAAAAATAAAAAGAAAGAATTCGTGTGAATACTTCTCATAATGACGCTATTAATAAAGGAAAAGAAAGTAAAAGAAAAAAGCTTATCGTAGAAAGGAAGCAAGTATGTCGCTTCCTCTCCTCTTCCACCAGCAACACAGTCATCCTTCTCCCCCTCGCTTTAGTCTGAGCAGCAATTTGACTTCTTGCATCCAGCAGAGTCGTTCTTTTGCATTTAACGGCAGCACACACACACACACACACACATACACAGCAACACCGTATCCAGTCAGGCAAAAAAACTCAACGCACATCATTATCAGCAACAATGGTCATTTTTCCCACAACCTTAGTTATCTGATTCCTCTTCCTCGTCGTTATCATCGGAATTGTAAAGGAAGAAATCAGGCAGAGATTGCTGCGTAACCATAATGGGGGAATATTCCCCATGAACAGATCCTACTCTGCGCCGACGTAAACCACTGTCGTTTATCAAAATGTCGTTTTCGGCATGCATTGGTGTGGCAAAAGCAACACTGCTACCACCTGTATCATTAACAACTCCAGTAAACGCAGATGCCATGTATGAATCATCGTCCAAATAGAATGAGCGCAATGGAGTGCTGCTTTCCACCGCCTCGGCTGAACAGGCAAGAGAGTCGTAAGGAACCTGTGAGTGGACGTCCAGAAGAGGCACCGTATCATCATCTTCATCAAAGCCAAAGGTGGTTTTGTGCAGCAATTTTTCGTGGTCCCAGGAGCGTCGTTCTTCATCCACGTTGACATGCGTATTACCACTGCTCCTAGGCGACCCCGACGTTAAGCATAAGGTAGTGCCACCATACGCCCCTGTTGAAACCTCCGAGAGGCTTATCAGCGTCCTCGCCTCGTCGTGATCTTCTTCCCTCTCTCTCATCCACAGTCCCTCATCCTCCGTATTTCCTTCACGTTCTTCATCAATGCGTTGCCGTTTCATGCCAACATCACTTGAAAGTGGGACAGCAACTTCCGCACAAAACGACGAAACCTTCCAACTAAGATGGCGCACGAGTTCGCAGGGCAAGATACTGGCGCCAGTAACACCGTCAAAGATGCGGTGTACCCGAAGATTTCGGCTCTTAAGGCGCTGAAAGACGTCTTCAAATCTTTGTTCAGCGGAAGTGCCAATGCGAAGCAGACGCCCTCCCACCTTCAACTCAATGTGTTGCTGCACCTTCCCACGGTCAGCATAGGCACTACCAGAAGCGTATGAGTGTACATGATCTATACCAATGTGTGGACGCTTGATACTGCCATCCTTTAAAAGTATGGGTGAGATAGTTTTGCTGCATTTCTCTTTAACGTAGTAAAAAAAACAGCGAAGGTTACCCTCTGTTACCTCCAATTTGTCATCAATGTCTTCGTAAGTCACATCGCCCTCTCCAAGCTCGGGGTTTCGCGCTCTCGTAAAGTTGCGTACAACAATCCTGGGATACTCTTCAAATATGCCTTGTCCTGTTTGGGTGTGTGCCACCCTGCCGGCATCGTCACATCCGGTGCAGCGAGAGCATACATAGGATCCATTGAAACCACTGCCACTGTTTACTGCGTGCACTAAGTTATTTTGTGTTGAAACTTCTGCGGCGCTCGGCTTACGTGCAGCTGCGGGGTGCACGACGAAGTACTGATTGAGTCGGTATTCCATACCCTCTGCAAGTTCCCTGTACGTCGCGCTGCCCCTGTAAAAAGGCACCAGGACATCGCCCCTGTAAGCACTCGCGGTATCACAGAAGCATGGACTCCCTAAAGAGGCAAGCGGCTGGCACTGATAGAGACTGATGCACACCGCGCCAAGGGAAACAACGGCCTTTTCCTCACGCATGCATGCGTACTGCGCCCAACCACCCACCCCCCTACCCGTCCCTCCGCCTCACTCACCGCCACAGTCTTCTCCAAAGCGTCAACAAAGATGCAAAAGGAACCAAAAAAAAAAAAAAAAAAAAAAGTGAGCACATACAAATAAACACAAAAAAAAAAAATGCAAAACAAAAATACAGAGAAAAACACGGCATTAGGCAACGATGTAGAAACAAAAAAAAAAAAAAAAAACGTCTTACTCCCGCTAATCAAGCCTTCTTTTCTTCAAGTTTATTGCCAGAACGGGTCTCCACATCGAAATGGAGAAAGGCGCAAAGAGTTTTGTCGGACACACACACAAAGACGGAGAAAAAACAATGAAATAAAAATCAACGCGTAAGGAGAGCAAACAGCGTTAGTAACAAATGTGCAGGAAACTTTATATTGGCGCGCCACACAAAATCCCGCTTGACAGACGACAGAAAAGAAAAAAAAAATCATCTGTGAGGAGGTTCTTGTAGCGTTATTGAGATTCATCTAGTAAGGAAAAGAAAATCATGACATATATACGCAGTTCTAGTTTTGTACGTATATTATATATATATATATATATATATATATGCAAAAAAAAAAAAAAAGAAGATATTGCCCTTCCCCCTCTTCCTTTTGGATCTACACCCTCCTCCCTCTCGCACCCATTCTAGCCCCTACAACGGTCTAACCAACAGAGTCACCCAGACACACACATCTACACAGCAAAAGGTCCAATGTACATCAATCGGCGCGTTGTTTGTTTGTTTGTTGTTTTTTTTTTTCCGCTTGATTCGCATTTTTGTATGAAAAAATAAAAGTGGGTGTGAATTAATCACAATCTATACGTTGAACTCCACAGCTGCGTGGAGATTAATTTCCTCCCCCCCTTCTTCCTCCTTCTCCCCTTTTTTCTCACTTTAAAAAATTCAGTTACACACATCCATTTTTTTTTTTTTTCCTTTTCTTTTTGTTTGAACGTGCGTAGAATTGTGAAGGAGTAATGAAGCGGGGAGAAGAGTAGTTGGATGGATCGTGTTGTATCTAATTGAAGCTGTAAGCGGGAAAATATATAAAGTGTTCAAGTACATCTTTCTTTTCCCTCTCCAGTGAGAAACCGGACCTCTCTGACCCAATTTCACTTGGCTATGGCGGAAAAGTAATACGGCAGCACAACGTCTCTCCTAGCTCGAATAGGGCGTGCCAAAATCTCCGCGCTCAGCCTCGCCTTGCTAGGATCATCAAAGTACGTCTCCACGTCAAAGTAACGTGTGGCTTCCTTTCCCCACCCCTGTGGGGGAGCCTTCTGTTGAGGCTCACCTGCCGCGGTTCCACCTTCAAGCAGTTGCCGCGTCGACTGCTCCTTGGGAGTGTGGGTGGCGGACGTCTCCTCTGCGGCCTCAAAACTGAGCTGTCGCTCCACAACAATGGGAAATAGAGCGCTCCCATCCTCCCCAACTTCACCTAATCGTCTTTTCCGGCTTAAGTTGGAGCCGGTACTGCGACGGCATGCATTCCCGTGGTTTGGATGCGGTGTGAAAGCCAATGCAAGCGCGGTGGGTGCCGTTCGAGGCTCTCGATCCCCCTCACTTGTTCCTCCCTTGCTGTTGCGCGTCGTAACTGTAGAGGTGCGGTCTGGAGAAGTATCACGGTGCTGATTCTCATTCAGGCGTTTTTCCAACGATTGCACAATGCTTGAAAAGGTTGGGGCAGAAGACGCCGCATTCTTTTTCCTCATTGTTGCCTCCTCCTCCTCCTTTTCCTTCTTCTCTCGTTCTTGTCTTGCCGCTTCTTCCTCTTCCTTTTCCTTTTTCTCTTGCATGCGTTTTTCTTGACGCTTGAGCCGTGCAATCCTATCGGGGGAGGCGACATAATTGTCAGGAAAATATTTCTCGGCCTCAGGACCCCACCCCAGTCGTCGCTTCGGCTGCGTGACAGCATCAACCTCCGGTGATGGCTCCTTTTCCGGCAATTCTCTTTTCCCTTTCAGTTTTGTCACGGGCGTTGTCGCTTTCTTTGCAGTGGCCTTTCGCTTCGCCCGAGACTTCTGCATGAGTCTGTTGGGGCTGGTAATGTAGTTATCGGCAAAGCACTTGTGCGCCTCTGGACCCCAGCCAAGTCCACGCCCCGTGCCTTTTCCCTTTCCACCACCCGCCACGGTCCTAGCATCCTCCTTCTTTACTTCCGTCTCTTCTCCTCCCTCCTGCTTGGCTCTTTTTCCATTTTTCGCTTCACACTTCTCCCCAGCCGCAGCACCAGAGGATAAGAAAGAGGAAGATGTGTGTTCGACCGGCTTCTCCGTAGCAACAGAATTCTTCTTTCCTTTCGACGCCTTCTCTTTCGGCGGTTCTTCTGTCGACGAGTGCACGTCAACAGTCTGAACGGTGGTGGAATTCGTGCGGCCATTTTTGTCAATGTTGCTGGTGGTGGCACCCACAGTGCTGGTTGTCGCCGTGAGGAATTCTTCCCCCATCCCTGCCGTTACCGTCTCCCTTATGCGCAGCCGCATGTAAAGTACTTCCTCCTTGACAAGCACGACTTGATTGACAAAATCTTGTGCGAATATCTCCGCCTTATCTGTGCCGCTCTTCACAAAAACCTCTGACACCGATATTTTATCCCGCGGAATAACATGCCTTCCGGTGTTGGAACGGGCAATGAGTCGATGCATTGCGTCCTTTGCCAGGCGACGCACGGTGGTTTCATCTGTAATCGGTACGCGAAATGTCCCCTCTACCGCGTCCCCAAGAAGGAGCGAGACCGTAGCAAACTGGGGTTCGCCTAAAGGCATGAAAAGAAGGGGGAGTTCAACACCTTTTAAGGGTGTCCGTCAAAAATGTTTTCCTTCTCTGTATAAAAGTGCAATGTATTAAAGGAAGGGCACGTGACCTAAGTGCCCTATTGAGCGTTGATCCAGAAAACAACCCTTATATGTCTCTCTGCGCGTATTCTCCCCTGATATGAGTTAAGCAACAGAAAAAAGCAACGTGGAGAAAAAGAGAGGGACAAAAATATAATTGAATAAATAAGCATCAGCTGCTAAAAAAAAAAAAAGATCTGTCCGCCACTGGTTTCCCTCCTGATACATCTACAAAAAAGTGCTTCTGTACGCATGTTCAGGATCCTTATGGAAAGTAAACTACCTGGAATCCCTCTCATCACGCACCCAATCACAGACAACATTAATAATAATAATAATAATAATGCCTCTACGCCTCTTGCTCCTCCAGAGAGTGCAATGGTAATAAATTCTCAGTTAATTTCGGCTTTTTGATATCCTCATTATCATTTTGTTGCTGGTTTTGTAAAGCTCTCTTGAGAAACTCGTCAGGTGCAAACTCCCACAGAAGACGGGTGTACATCAACGTCATGTCGTCACGCCAATCAATTGTCGAGCGCAATACGTCTTCCTCTGTGGAAAAGGGGGCTTTTGGAAAAAGTTGTGGCATCTTGTCGCGGAGTTCACTGTGAATGGCAAACGCAGGCGTTTCTTCGGTGATGTGCAACTTCCGCTTCAGCCGACGCATCCGTCGATAGGGCGGCGGTAGCATCGCCTGTGCTGGAGAAAGAACACCTATTCGTGTGGGTGGCGCTGTTGCTGCTGGCGTTGCTGCCGGTGTGGCGTTACCTGACTTTTTCGATGTTGCATTCTTTTTTCCCTTGCCGACATCTGCCTCTGTGCCTCCATATTCCACCGAATTCGTCGACGCGTCCACCTTATTTGGGGGTTGTGTCCTGCAGGAGGCGGCACGAGCGTCGGCATTAGTGCCATTTGCTTCCTCCAGCTCTTCTTCATCACCCATCCCCGTTTCTTCCCCACCCTCGCCCTCGCTGTCACCATTCAATCCCTCCCGTGGCCTCGAGAAGCAGGAGGGAGACGAAAAGGATGAGGTGATATTTGACCCTCTTGTCACCGCCTCACCGCTCCGCTGCGCAAAGGAGCCCACTGAAGGTACATTATCCAAAATGCTACACGGGTCTCCACCAGGTGGAAGACTGGTGATGACATGCACACTCTGAGTTCCCGCTCGAACCAGTTTTATCAATGGATCCCTTGTGCAAACAAAGTAGCTGGTAGGCGGCGAGACGGCGGCAAGGTTTGCAGCGCCCCGGCGAGTATGAACTCCGCCGCCGCTGTTTGGAATCAGCGTCACTCTTCTGCTGTTGTCTAGCCAGACGACATCGGCTGTCGGCACGACCGGTGATGCCGGCAAGGCGGCCATGCCTTCAGGTGGTTTTATCACAGGCTCCCATCCACGCAACCGTTGGAGCGCCCGTCTGGACGGTTTCGGTGCGGGTGCGGGTGCGGGTGCGGGTGCGAGTGCGGGTGCTTCTGGCTCTTCAGCTGCTGGCAGGGGCACTGCAGGCGGCTGTTCTACATTCGACTCGCTTGCTGGATGTTCGCTTACTTTGGGTGACAAAGTCGTCGTTTCGGCTTCTTTTGTATTCGCCTCCTCATCGACCTTTTTCTCTGCAACCTCGGTCGCCGCAGAACTCGGACGCTTTGCTCGGCGCCTGGACCCCATATTCCTTGCTCACTTGTGACACCAAAGAAATTACCGCGTTACAGTTGTTTGTGGACAAATTTCGCAGTCGGAGAAAAGATGGCAGAAGAAAAAACTAAACCGTTTATTCACTGGGGATGGCTCAGTGCCAAGAAGAAAAAAATAAATAAAAAATAGAGAGAGTCCCCCCCTCTCCATCACATGGGCACAACCATTGAACGGGGAACACCGAAAGAAACAAAAGAAAAATTTAAAAAAAAAAGGCTCAAAATCAACAACAAAAACAACAACAAAAACAGACAAGAGTCGTCCTTGAAAAAAAAAAAAAAAAAAGCCTCCATGTGTGTTCTGCGTGTCTCCTCCCAATTCGGCTTTAAGTGTCCGCTCCAAAAAAAAAAAAAAAAAAACCTTCTCACCGGCACAAACAAATTTCCCTCTCGTTCACAAATTAGATGCCTTTCCGAGATATCTGGAACCGCTTATACGCCCCTGCCGTTATGACATTTCCCTGCGCATCCTGCATCTCCTCTCCCTCCTGGTCCTCGTGGAGACGTTTGCGGATGCTTGCGGTGTTGCTTATCACCTTGTCCCGCATCTCAATAACCTTCCGGATGGATGAAATTCCCGCGTACTCCCTCAAATGAACCGTCACCCCCAGCCGGCGAAGTCCTTCAGCATGTCGTTCTGCCCCAAAATGATCCTTAAAGGCCTTCGGGCCAACGTACACCGTCCCACCGCACACCTCGCAGTAAAACTTTTTGTGCAGCTGCTGCAGGTGTATAAGCCAGCGGGCAACAGGTTTCCCATCCCGGTCCAGTAACTGTCCGCTGGTGTCATCTGCAACAGCAGTATTTTCTTTCGGGCTACTCTCTACATCTTTTGGATTTAAAGTCGCCATGACGTCGTACTGTGCGGCCTGCGCAACGCTACCCTCCACTGTTGTGGCACTCTTCTTTCTTGCTTCCTCCACAGATTGTAAAAACTCCTCCTGCAAATGCTTTCGTTCCCACTCCATCTCCTCCGCCGTCTTGCTGTAGTCCCGTAGAAGCACCTTTTCTGTCTCCTTCAGTGTATCAAAGAGCAGTGTCTGCAGTAACATGACAATTTTTCCTTCCGCGTGAATCACAGTCTTGACTTCAGCCAAAGAGGGAGATACCGCCTTCATCCCCTCCACCATCATAGACTCCAGGTGTGTAATGGGCCAGAGTGCGAACGCCTTTGTGTATTTACGTAGCGGTGGCGGTACAATTAACGAAGAAGCAGTCTTATCAGCGGAACTCACATCACTGTTCCCGCTACCGCTCTTCACCACGGCCTTCTTATGTTCCATGAGCTTTGACCAATATTCCTCCGCATCTGTGTCACACCTGGCAAGAGAGGAGAGCAAAACATCCTTTTCCATCACCTTCGCACGATCATGAAAGCCAATCAGGTATGCTAGCAGCTCATCAACAAACTCCTTGTACTGTAAAAATCCATACAATTTCCGGTGGGCATCAATGTCATGGAGAATGATGCTCGGTATTGCAGGAACAAAAGCAAAATAACCCACGCGTCCTTCCCACGCGCTTCCAACGGCATCCCCCTCCTCCTGCGCCCTTTTGCTCGTTGTCAACATGAAGTTGCTGTAACGGTGGTAGTGGGGCTCCAAGTCAAGACAACTGCCGTAACGCTCTCCCACGGAGAAGAGTTGTTCCATTGCCGCAGCATCAGGGTGGTCTATCTCCGTCTTCACGGGAGGCAGATCACGAAACGTACGGTGGTACTCACGAATATCAGCAATCTGCGCCTCAAATTCCTTTAGAGCAGCACTCAACACATCGTCGCCCTCAGACGGGGCCTCCTGCACGGCGACGATTTCGTCCTGGTCGAGGTACAAGTCCAGCAGCTTGTCGGCAATAGGGGCAATCGCCTCCGCCTCCTGCAAAATAAAGTGATCGCGAAGAATTTGGTGACGTCTGTTGCTGACATCCGCAAGGAGTTTCTGCTGCACAATGTTGTCAATGTGGTGCTCAATGTCGGCCTCGAACAGCCGAATTTTCTCCAACACTCCACCGAACATAATTTTCCCTCCTCCTCCTCCTCCCCTCTTATATATAGATATATATATATATATATATTAATCGTATTTTTCTTATGCTTCCGTCTCCCTTCGCCTCCTCTACCCTTCGGTGGTCCCCCTTTTACGGTCCTCACCGAATCCCCTCGGCGCGCAATCAGGCTGTCGGTGCGGCCCTTCCGCCCCTTCCTCTCTGTACGCGTACGCTAAAAAAAAGGTAATTAAAAAAAAAGAAGTGAAAAAGCAGTCAACGTCAACACAGAAGGCAATCCAAATACTCGCTGAAACAAACATGCCGCAGTGACCGCAAAAAAAAAAAAAAAGAATTAAAATAATTTAAAAAAAAGAAACATTGCATAACCAACACGCACCTGCACCCGCATCACACACACACAGAAAAATGCAGGTAGACTCACATAAAAGGAAGAACAAACACGCACAAAAACATGGAAATAAATAAGAGCAAAAAAAAAAAAAAAACGTGGCCCTCGTTTTCTTTTCATCTTCCACTCATCCCTTTCCATCCATCGTTTTCGTTTCACATTCTCCCCCTTCTCCCTTTCTATGCATCTATGTATAGTTGCATGTGCGTGTGAATGCAAAATAGTGGAAATAACAAAGTATTAAACATTTCTTATTTACATACGTGATTCAATATCCTTTTTTCTTTCTTTTTTGCCTCTTGTCCCTATTACTATTTTTGCATGTGTGTTACGTTGTTCATCTCATATACATCGGCTCATTTCTCTCATCCCCTCCAGGTCACCCGTTTGGCTCCCCTGTCTCAAGAGCCAGCTGTAAATTGACAAGAGCGAAATAAAGGCGCTACTCCCTCCCTCTAAAAGAGGCTGTGGCCACGGAGGGTCCCACATCCACGACGCCACACTTCAAGTAGTACACCCACTGCAGCGTCTCTCCATTGTTCACACCAGAGACGGTGAGTTTACCCGTCTGCGAGACACTACCGCCCTCTTCCGGCTTGTACGTCACCTGAATGTTGATTGTTTTCTTTGCTGCCACGGTCTCTGTCGTTTTGAGCACCACAAAACTGGGCGAATCCGTCGACAACGTGAGTGTGAGGGGTTCCAGAAAAACGTTTCGAAAAGGAATAGAGGTCACCTGCCCCAGACGAAGCAGGAATGGCCCCTGGCGCTGAGGCGGTAGGCACGATGCCAAAACAGGAAATATGTAAAGACCTGCTTGAGGTGAGAAAACCTCAATGGATTCCTTTATCTCACCAACAACTGTGGGCTCATACTGAATTTCCATTGACACCTCTTGTCCCTCCGGACGCGTCGTTCCAGGCATTTTCACGCTGCTGGAGCTCCCAACCTTTGAGAATGGGGTCACCTTGGAGCCGAAGCGGACGGTGAACTCGCAGTTTGACTTGCAGTAGTGGGTGAATCGAAGTGGAAAAACAGTCGTCTGTCCAAGAGGGCATGAAACCCGCGTCACCTTCTCTGGCTCCGGCGGCTTCGAACGAAGAAGAAGTTGACAGGACACAGTGCCAATCTCCACGCTCGTTGCGGTAACGGTCGCCACTGGATACTCCTTATGCACCAAAGGGAAGAAGCGAATGGGAACATCCACGGTACCCTTTGGCGGAATGTTAATGGAAGAATCAACAAAGATGACATCGCTACCATTCTCCACCCGTATGTTGGCATGAGCGTTCTTTCCCAATGGATTTTTAACGGGCATAAGATGAATCGCGGCATTACGTACTTTTGCCACAAGTTCTGTTCTTGAAGATACCTTCTTTGGCACAACACGCAGCGCCAAATCAAACACTTGTGTATGATCCTCACGTTCAGGACAGCGGAATTGCACAGTCCCACGAAGATCACCCTCCTTTAGTATGACAAACGTGATGGCACAGATCTTCATCTGTTTGGCGGGAACATCAATACTCGCAGGTGCCTTTACAGTTACCATGCCCTTCTCCAGCTCTGGGGTCCACTGAGCATTAACTTGAAAACGTAAGGGCTGCGTCGTACTGTTGTAGACCTCAAAATTCTCAAGATGTGGGGTCCCCGCTTCTATTGTTTTCACTGCAACCTTCCCCTCTTCCATAGGATGGGAGGCGACCCCCTCCAATTCAATGACGCGAGCGGCTCCATTGTGGAACGGGATAAAGAGGGTGGCAGTGTCTTTCTCTCCGGAGACAAACATTGGCGCATACGTCACAGGCAACAACGCGGTGCTCCTCGGGTTTATTTGAAATGATTTGGGTGCTGTCCACAGCCGGCTGTCAATGACAGGTTTTATTGTCCATGTCCCATCCGTAGGATTATCCACAGGCACCGTCTTTGTAGTGGTGGCCTTTGCACAACACGAAAATGTCAAAACTGCCTCCGCCTTGGGCCGCTCAGTAGCATGTGCCTCCACATTGACAGTTGCGGCTGGGGCGTCATCAAATTCCACACGAACATTGCGTCTAAAGACGTTCCCTGCATCTTTTGGGGTATACACAAACTCGCACACCTGTTCCGAGTGGGCACGAACCAAACCTGTGGGTGGGACAACCCTCATTTCGCTCTGTGTCGAAAGTGTCGGATCCCACCTGAAGCGCTGCGAGATATCACCGCTGTTCATGATGACAATGCGTCGAAAAGCCGTGGTGCCCACAACAACATCATTAAAAAGAATATTTTGAACATCCAAATGAACCTCCGCGTCCTCGCAGAAGGCCGAGACAAAAACAAGCGGCATCTCCCGCCCACAGACAAGCATTCG